ATGTTCTAATTTTAAGTACATAATGGATGCAATAAAATATTGAGTATTAAGTTATTATTGCTTCGGAAAAGAGTTAGATTAACTGTTGCTTTTACCATCGGTTTTGGGTCGACCCCCCGTCACTAACAAAAACGTTACTCACTATCGTAGACCACCATTCGGTTCCCAAGGCCCATCGTCAGGCAGTCTTGTTGCCAAAACACATCGACATCACTCCAATCCACTCGCCTATGGATTACTTCAGAATGACAACGTGGTTAAAAGGCTAAAAAGAAACCACTTAATTTAAGAAGACAGTTTGACATAGGCTTCCTGCTCTTTAATAATAAAAAGACACTCAACAAATCTGATTAGAGTCTGGCGACTGATTGCAGAAATCATGAACACAAAAAGAAACATCTTCACACTAAGAACTCGTGTTAATGTTTGTGTATTTTTTATTATTTCCAGAGCAGTATAAAGAAATGCAAAGTGAAGGTATTCGATCAGCCGTCGCGGAATGAGAGCCTGATCGTGACCATCGTCAGGGAGCCCGACGTGGACGACAGCCTGGAGAAGGTCGCCCAGGAGTTGCTGGGCAAGGTCATCTGGGTCGGATGGCCACATCTCACGAGATCCAAGTGAGTCTTTGTTCCTTTGTGTAGATCTTTGTAAACATGTGTTATTTTTCTTAATTTTGGAAACATATAGCGTACGTACTATAATATAAAAAATATGTATGTGTAATTTTTTCTCGACTGTACAAGAACAACCCTTAATTTTACCAAACACTTTATATGCAAGAGAACGACTCTCTAACTTGCCAGTGGTAAATGTAGACCTAGGATAAATTGGCTTTAACTCCCCACTCTGGCCAGACGGGATGGAGGGGGTTGATATTCCTATATTAGTCGCCTCTTAGTGGGGCATTCACGGGAAAAATGGTCCCATTCTGCCCTGACGGAATTACATAGCTCCTTTGTATTATAATTATGAGAGTTCATTTTCCTTTATAAATAGTATTGTCAGAAAGTTACGTGCTCGGTAAACATATTTCAGAAACCGTTTTTTTTTATATTTACCTGAGCACTATAACTGTACAACTTTCAATCTCTTTACTCTTTAATCTTAACATTCTTTTTCAGAGTAATATCGGTGTCAAACGAAAAGATGCGCTTGCATTATGTGGACAAACAGAACAACAACGTGAATGGAGTTCCCAACTACACTACAGAAGCTAACTTTGGCAACCTACACAAGCAGTGGATCTCGGAACGGTCCACAATTATTGAGCAGTATGTTATTTACTAACCACCTAAGTCTTATATCCCATTAAAATAGTAAAAGTCTCAGGATTTCATTATGCTTTTGTTTTTTTACAGCAATATGAATAGGCTTGGTATCGATTTGGAAACGGTGGATATTATTATACACGCAGTCAATCTAAAAGGTGAGACATTTATTTTATTTAGTTGTATTTTGTTTGTTTAATAGAACAAGGTGTTGAACCTACAACAAGGTTATTGTTTTAGACAACACATTTTTGTGACACACTGTTTTGTTTCTTTTCATCTCAGTAAAAGCAACTTTTTTAAAAAAGTGGCAAAGCACCCTGCTCAAACAGTTTTAAATATTTATGAATACGAAAGATAATAGATTACAGACCGAGTGATTGTATTTCTCAGACTTAGTACTGGTCAATATAATTTTCAGGAAAAAGTGTTAGGAGTTAACTCCGCATAGAAAAGTCTTCTTAATAAGCCACCTTATGAATATCAACTTTTTCTCCGTACTTAACTAGTGTATTTCAATAAGATCTCGCTCGCAGGTTACAAATACATGATCCAAGACAACGTGGCAATGGTTCGCGAACCGGAATGGTGTTCCGTAGCGTGCGGGTACGCGCGACACGCGGTAGTAACTGATGTGTCGGCGCATGTGGTAGCGCAAACTTCGCGATTCCACACGCCGCAGGAGGCTTATCCTCCTGGAGACAAGGTGTTCTTGTTGACGCAGGGACAGTACTACGGATGCTTGGCGACGGTGAGCATTAGTCGATATCGATAATTTAGTCGATAACATAATACGCGACACGCGGTGGTGACAGTTGACGGTGAGTTTTTCATTATAGTCTGGTCCAAAATTCTACGTGCTCCCTAGAATTTTGTCCAATGACCCCAAGCTACCCATCCTTATCGCTCGCGCGTAATTATATTGCTGTCGCGACTGTGGGACGGGCGCCCGCAGTGAGTGTGCGAGCGCGACAGCAACATAATTACGCGCGAGCGATAAGGATGGATAGCTTGGGGTCATTGGACAAAATTCTACGTGCTCCCGGACCAGACTATAGTCGATATCGGTAACTTAGTCGATAACATAACGTGCGATACGCGGTCGTCACCGATGTGTCGGCCCATGTGGTCGCCCAACCCTCGCGATTCCACACGCCGCAGGAGGCCTACCCGCCTGGGGATAAAGTGTTCTTGTTGACGCAGGGACAGTACTACGGATGCTTGGCGACGGTGAGTTTTTCATTATAGTCTGGTCCAAAATTCTACGTGCTCCCTAGAATTTTGTCCAATGACCCCAAGCTACCCATCCTTATCACTCGCGCGTAATTATATTGCTGTCGCGACTGTGCGACGGGCGCCCGCAGTGAGTGTGCGAGCGCGACAGCAACATAATTACGCGCGAGCGATAAGGATGGATAGCTTGGGGTCATTGGACAAAATTCTACGTGCTCCCGGACCAGACTATAGTCGATATCGATAACTTAGTCGATAACTTAACGTGCGATACGCGGTAGTAAACGATGTGTCGGCGTATGTGGTCGCCCAACCCTCGCGATTCCACACGCCGCAGGAGGCCTACCCGCCTGGAGATAAGGTGTTCTTGCTTACGCAGGGACAGTACTACGGATGCTTGGTGACGGTGAGTTACTAGATCATTGTCACTAGACGATTATTTGGTCGATAAAATAACCCGCGCCACACGATAGATACAGATTTGTCGGCGCACGTAGTCTCTCAGCCATCTTATATTGCGCACCCTTTTGAGAGATGCCGAATTCGCATACAGTTACCTTTTCTTTCACTGAATCATGAGTCGGTGTCTCCTCCAAGGGATGTACAATACATTCCAACAGCAAGGGCGTTCACGGAAGACCAGCTTCTTGACATGCCGTTCCGAGCAGGTCACTATAAATGCTGAGCGCCTGTTGGCAGTGTTTTGTTACCTACCATTTCTTTGTTATATGTTTTTCTGTGTCAATAAATTATTTCTATTTCTTATACCAGTTGGTGGAATCCGAGGGCGTTCGCAACGGTCGAATGAAGGTGCAAGTGACCGAGAGACCGGAGCCCGTGCCGGTCCTGAATTCATCCGCCATGCCGTACCGAGGCGCCAACCACGCGGCTGCGCAGTGTGGTAAGTCATCATCATCATTTCAGCCACAGGACGTCTACTGTTGAACATAGGCCTCCCCCAATGACTTCCGATCCGATCCGATCACTAACGTATGTCAACAAAACGGTGCTCGACTCGTGAGACAAGCTAAATTACACCATTCTGGGAGTGGGTAGTCAATGCGAAAAAACGCTCAACAGTTGGAATGTGCAGGTTTCAAAATGTCCATATGGACCGGCCGTTAGAGTGGCAAAAAGTATGAACGTCAAAAAGTCCCAGTGTCAAAATGTACATCATTACCATGGTTACAGTGCTTTAGTGACAAATGGTACACATCACAAAATACAAGTACAACAAAAGGTGTGATAGATAAAATGATCAACTGATATATTGTGCTCATGATTAAATTAATAAAATTAAATGTCAAAATGTTCAATGTTCTTGTAGTCCAGTCAATAAAGAGTTTTTTGGACATTTTTACCTTGATGCATTTAAACACGTGTTCACGTTAGCTATTATAGAATAAGACGATTGTTCGAATAAACCCGAAGACATTTTAACTTCAGATCATTTTAACCATTGCTCATTTTGACGTTCATACTTTTTGCCACACTAACAGCCGGTCCATATGGACATTTTGACACCTGCACATTCCAACCGTTGAGCGTTTTTTCGCATTGACCACCCACTCCCAGAATGAATTACACCATATCGTTGACGATTTTTAAATACCTTCGCGAAGAAAACCGACAAATAATAATAAGTACTGCCACAGAATAAGTAATAGTACAGGTACAGAAGGATTACTCCGCAAGACGATTTAAATAAATGCGAGTCTTGCTACGACGCGATACAGTGGCATTCAGCTCGCACAGCACTACGTACCTACAATTTTATTCACCTACAAGTTTTGTCTCTTTCTATCGCGTGCCTCTGAACTCTTCTTACGCTGTTAGGGTTGCTGTCTAGTGAAAAAATAATTAATCTNAAATCGATGACGTAATTTATGGACGGCCCCTTAGTGATATTATGAATATCAATGATTATGTTTTTAAATATGTAGGTTTTAAATTTTTTATGAAGAATGATCATTATGGTATCAAATTGTATGAGAAATATTTTCGGACCTGCAATGATAGGAATTGAAAAGTTATGTAAGAAAATGCGCTACCATTAATGTCATATCAATTGATTATCTATTGTGTCTAGATTTGCGGAGCTTGAAGGATTAAGATAACAAAGCCGAGATTCTTGCGCTGCTTCTTAGCATTAGCCCATTTATTGCCTCGAAACAAGGCTAGATTTAAGCTGAGTTGCCCCATCTTACTTTGACTTTAAAAAAACGTCAAAAATCTGTCAAACTTCATAGAAAAAGCACCGTTTTATTGTTCCAAAATACTGGACTGTCCTGTCGATGACATTGACAGTGGGGCGCCACCGTCAATACCGGATCGCTGGTTCAGATTTTTGCCATGTTGGAAACCATATAGTTGAACGATGGTAGCGCCCCCCTGTCATTGAGTTTGGTGGGACAGTTCAGCGTGGGTCATCTATACGTTATTGTTACAGTTAACGACTCAGCCTTAATGAACTACTATTTATTTTTGTCTATCCAGCTCCTAGCCGTACTACCGTCGGCCAGCAAGCACTTACTACCCACACCGTTCCACGAGCTGATGACGGAAGAAGACTCGCCTATAGTGCACTACTACCCGGTGCACTTTGAAACCGACCTCAACGGCAAGAAGAACGACTGGGAGGCCGTCGTCCTCATACCGTTCATTGATGAGGTGAGTTTACCAATTTTGAACTTTATTGCCTTATGTTAAGACCTACAAATAATACATTTATTTGTATGTAGCTTATACCGGGAAAAAACGATTTCTGAAGTATACAATGCCGGTCCTTTTGGCTCTATTTAGCTCCTGTCTTTCAGCCCTCTAAAGTACGGCCAACTAGCAGCGATACAAAAGGTCGATACGACTTTCGAGTTGACAATATATTCTGTCTCTTCCCATCTTGTGTATTTGTCGTAATGTCTCGTTCTCCCGCCAAAATATGTCAAAGTCAGACTTGTTCACCCATGACATTGGGTTTGTTTACATTTGGTATCGCTTCTCGTTGGCCGTACTTTAGTTAGTTTTGCAGAGCAATCGGTCGTTCACCAAATACTGCCGAACCAAAATGCTGGCTCACTTATGTACGTAGCAGCAACCCTGACCAGTAAAATTCAACATTTTGTATATTGAAATAAAAAACTTTCTTGCAGACGAATTTGCTATTGGCAATGGCGCCATGCTACGAGAAGCTGACCGAAGAAGAGATAAAGCGGAACACACACGGGCCCATGCTGGTATACAACTGGACGGCGGCCAGTCAGGGTGAGTGCACCATTCGAGTCTTATACAGGGTGTCAAAGTAAGGGATAAGTTGGCAAAAAATGGCAATTAGCATGCTTCTTAATAGAAGTAAAAGTAGAATATTGTTTATTTGGCACAATACACAATATAGGCAGAATACAAAATAAAACATACAATATAGAACTAAAAACCCAATTAAAATAAAGAGTGCCCTGTGCCAAAAAGGTCCCTGGCTCAGCATTAGTCGTGACATTAATAGAATATGTGTGGGATTTCTTTGCAAAAAATTCATATTTGCTATGATGATTCATATCTAAATATATAAAAGGAGAAACGCACAGCCTAAACGGCTAAACGTAGGCACTTGAAATTTGCAAGGGACGTAGCTTAGGTACCTTAGAGGTGCATTAAGAAAGGAATTTCCGAAATTCCCACGGGAAAGGGAGTTAGCGGGAAAAAACATTTGTATGAAAAAATCTAAACCGCATAAGATAGATGAAGGGGGTAAAACGGGATCCACGCGTACGAAGTCGCGGGCGGCCGCTAGTCTTTTTCTATTCAGGATGTTTTCATACCATCCAGTCCAGTCTTAATCAAATTTTATCTTAACCATTTTCACTTGGGGTAGGCAATAATTCGTACAATATCATACTTTCGAATGATTGACTCTAGAAATAACCAGAGCGGTAACAAGAAATCCTATAGTATCTATGTGAAAACCTTATCAACTTATTACTGTTCTAGCATGACCACAGCTATGGCTAATTACTAGTGCGCGGGTTTTAATTTGACTATGAGACTAGGGCCTACATTAAAACTTACATGAGCACCAGCCACACGCGTGGAAACCCGTCCGTGCCACACTGCGCTCATATTGTTTTTACCCGACTACGGCAAAGCAAAAGGAGGGTTATGATTTTGACAGGCTATGTATGTATGGTCATCTGTTCCCTCGTAACTTCTAAACTACTTATCAGAATTCGACAAATATATAATAATTACATATCATTAGAAGCGTCTTAACTGTCCGCTGGTTATAGGCTATATGAGGTTTCACAAAATCTAATGTGGCGCCCTCTAGCGGACAAAACATACAGAGTAAAAAAATAAAGTTAAGATAAATATGCCGTGTTTGGTATCATTTGAAAGCGCTTTATTTGTACATTTTGAATATACAGTGTNTTTTGGCCACCCTGTATATTACTAGCATTTGCTTGTGACTTTACCTGTATTCATGTGCTGATTGCATATAATTCACATATTTTCGTTAATAGCTTGTTTACTACTTATTAGTTCATCAATTTAACTTTTGTTCATATTATGCGCCACAAATACACTTTAACACCAAAATAGTACAAAATAATAATAAATAAAAAGTAAAAAAACTAAAACCCAACTACGACAAAAAACGACGCTGAAAAAGTATAAAACAAGATTTTCAGAATACTGAACTGAACAAAGTTGCTAATGTAGTTGCATAGTAATTTTCATGTTAGCAACTTTGTTCAGTTCAGTATTCTGAAAATCTTGTTTTATACTTTTTCAGCGTCGTTTTTTGTCGTAGTTGGGTTATAGTTTTTCGATACAGACGTGGTGCGGGCGCCCACACGAGTTTTACCGTCGTCCCTAATCTCATAATCCTCGATTTCCATTGTTTTTGGCCTGTGAACTCGACCTGATTATAATGACTTCTTACCTCATTATGTCATCAGGCGTGGAACACGCGCCAGAGTACTTCCAGCCCATAGCGGACTGCCACGCCATAGAGACGAAGGTGTGGCGGCAGGAACTAGAAGTCCCGGCCGCTGAACTCAAGAGGGGGATGCTGCCGAATGCCATGAGAGACATGATCTTCCCCGGCTTCCCCACCATGAAGCACCTCAAGTATAAAGTAAGTCCTAGCGTCAGAAAGGTGATAAATAGTGGTCTATAGTCTATCCAATATAGCTTGATTAGAATGACGGCTGTCAAACGAATGTGACTAGTGTTGGGTATGTTTCGTACGGTTCACATAGATGTATCGATAAGTTTTCGAAAAAATGATATAAAAAATGCACCCAATTTTTCTTCATATCTTTATTCATAAAAATGACAATTATGATTTAAATTTAAAGACAGTAAAATTCAAAATTAATGTCAAGGGTGTACAACCTAAGTCGTAGTCATTATCATCAGTGTTCTTCAGTGGTTTTTTCCTCTCGCTAGAGGGCGGTGGGCATCTCTTCTAGAGCAACGGTGCTATGAATACCCAAAAAATTACCGGTGATTGATTTCCGATGTTTGATTATTTAAGAATGAAATGTTTTTTGGTTTTTAATAGTGAACATTTAGAAAAACGTATAACTTGACTTAAATATGTTAAAAAATTAGTTAGAAAAAAAAATGTTAAATATGTTTAAAAAATAGTTTTAATTTAATATGACATTTGTCGATATGTCCCAACACTAACATTTTTGTAACTCGAGATAACCTTGTAGAGACGTCGTTAATACTCTAGCTTGATTTTTATAATTTCGAATTACTACTTATTGGTGTAATTTAACGCTGCATATACACGAAATTAACATTTTTATTAGAAGCACTGTCGTCGAAAATATTGTTTGTAGGTCAGACGTGAATTATTTCTTGTCCGCCAATATTTAGCTCTCATTGATCGCTACTACAAAGTTATGTCGTTACTTTTGATGTCAGCTGTCATTCTAATCAAGCTATATTGGATAGACTATAATTCATGTATTTTGACACAGTCAAAATCTCGCTGATGTTCAGAAGTCGTCCCATTGAAAAACAGTTCTAAATCCGTATTCACAAGGGTCATTTCGATAGAACGATTACTCGATAGGATCGCAACTCAGCGATTTGTTGTCGTTGAAGTTTTGTTACTAGAATAAGGCTACAGGAGGGGGTGTGTTATATGGTTCATATATCACAATATGAAGGCGGTTCAATTGTGATATAATATGAACCGCCTTCCTTCTTTAACACGCTTTGGAAAGCGCGGTATCATTTCTTTTTCGGTCAATCAGGCCTCCAATATCTTGATAACAAATACACCAAGTTTTACTTTTTACGTGTGTCTCGCCTGTAGGCAAGTAGCTACTTGCCCTACAGGCGAGACACACGGCTAGTAATATAATACCATCATTGGATTTTATCGTGTCGCGCATAATATAGCAATATAAAAGCTTTTTAGCCCAGCCTTAACTTCTGCTCCTCTAAAACATCACCATGTTTTAAGCAAATAAATTTATTTGATTTTGAACATTTGTTACTATTATTGTTTCCAGAGCAGCATAAAAAAATGCAAAGTGAAGGTATTCGATCAGCCGTCGCGGAATGAGAGCCTGATCGTGACCATCGTCAGGGAGCCCGACGTAGACGACAGCCTGGAGAAGGTCGCCCAGGAGTTGCTGGGCAAGGTCATCTGGGTCGGATGGCCACATCTCACGAGATCCAAGTGAGTATTTGTGTGATTTGTGTAGATCTTTGTAAACATATTGATTTTCGCTTCATTTTGAAAACGCATATCTTACAATATGTGTAATGCAGATAGAAAAACTGTTGTATGCGTACTTTGGTCTCTAATAATATAGAAAAACCCTTTAATTTGGCAGTGGGAAATGGAGGATTTATCTGATGGGAGTCCCACACTGACCAGATGGGATGGAGTTATGATCGCATATTACTCGCCTCTTAGTAGGGCATCCACGGCAAGAGTGGTCACATTCTGCTCTATCGAAACTACATGGCTTCTTTGTTAATAAGCATTTCTTGAAGATTATTAAATTTTCCTTAAAAATAGCCTTGTCAAAAAGTTACGTGCTCGGTAAACATATTTCAGAAACCGTTTCTTTTATATTTACCTGAGCACTATAACTGTACAACTTTCAATATCTTTAACCATAATTATCTTTTTCAGAGTAATATCGGTGTCAAACGAAAAGATGCGTTTGCATTATGTGGACAAACAGAACAACAACGTGAATGGAGCCCCCAACTACACTACAGAAGCTAACTTTGGCAACCTACACAAGCAGTGGATCTCGGAACGGTCCACAATTATTGAGCAGTATGTTATTTACTAACCACCTAAGTCTTATATCCCATTAAAATAGTAAGTCTCAGGATTTCATTATGCTTTTGTTTTTTTTACAGCAATATGAATAGGCTTGGTATCGATTTGGAAACGGTGGATATTATTATACACGCAGTCAATCTAAAAGGTGAGACATTTATTTATTTGTTTGTTTATTATGTGGATTTGATTTGAGTTCAAAAAAAAGTTTTTAAGTAAAACATTGTTTTGTTTCTTTTCTATCCAGTTTTTTTAAAGTGACTACGCACATGCTCAAAAACTGTTATAAATTAGAAAGAGACAACAAATTAACCGAGTGACTGAATTTCACAGACGCGGCACGGTTCAATATACTTATTAGACATGTTGACACCACCAGTCGGTTGAAGTACTTTTTAAAACTGTCAAAACGAAACTCTCCCATAGATTTTGTATGGCACTACAAGCAAGTGACGTCACTATTTTGTCAACTCAAATAAACTACTTTTTTTAATTACAATGCGACCAAAAATCGTAATTTACAGTTAATTTAAAATTCATTAAGTTTTTAAGACCAGAATGAAGTGTCTTTTTAGAAAAATTGTGATTTATTATTATTGGGGAATGGTGTCAAATTGTCTATTTTCTCAAAGAATTGGTAGTGTTCTTTATTACGTACTAGCTGACCCGGCGAACTTTGTTCCGCCTTAATGGCAATAAATAAGCAGACTTTTTTTTAATTTTGAACGGGATAAAAAGTATCCTATGTCCTTCTCCTGGCTCTAAACTACCTCCATGACAATTTTCAGCTAAATCGGTTTAGCCGTTCTTGAGTTATAAGCGAAGTAACTAACACGACTTTCTTTTATATATATAGAAATGCAACATAATAGTTTAAAATGAAATAATAATGATGTATTCCAACCAAATCTTGCTCGCAGGTTACAAATACATGATCCAAGACAACGTGGCAATGGTTCGCGAACCGGAATGGTGTTCCGTAGCGTGCGGGTACGCGCGACACGCGGTAGTAACTGATGTGTCGGCGCATGTGGTAGCGCAAACTTCGCGATTCCACACGCCGCAGGAGGCTTATCCTCCTGGAGACAAGGTGTTCTTGTTGACGCAGGGACAGTACTATGGATGCTTGGCGACGGTGAGCATTAGTCGATATCGATAATTTACTCATTAACATAACGTGCGACACGCGGTAGTGACAGTTGTGTCGGAGCATGATGGGCGCAGCTTTTGCGCTTCCACACGCCGCAGGAGGCTTATCCTCCTGGGGATAAAGTGTTTTTGTTGACGCAGGGACAGTACTATGGATGCTTGGCGACGGTGAGTTTTTCATTATAGTCTGGTCCAAAATTCTACGTGCTCCCGGACCAGACTATAGTCGATATCGATAACTTAGTCGATAACATAACGCGCGACACGCGGTAGTAACCGATGTGTCGGCGCATGTGGTGGCACAACCCTCACGATTCCATACGCCGCAGGAGGCTTATCGGCCTGGAGATAAAGTGTTAATGTTGACGCAGGGACAGTACTACGGATGCTTGGCGACGGTGAGTTTTTCATTATAGTCTGGTCCAAAATTCTACGTGCTCCCTAGAATTTTGTCCAATGACCCCAAGCTACCCATCCTTATCGCTCGCGCGTAATTATATTGCTGTCGCGACTGTGGGACGGGCGCCCGCAGTGAGTGTGCGAGCGCGACAGCAACATAATTACGCGCGAGCGATAAGGATGGATAGCTTGGGGTCATTGGACAAAATTCTACGTGCTCCCGGACCAGACTATAGTCGATATCGGTAACTTAGTCGATAACATAACGTGCGATACGCGGTCGTCACCGATGTGTCGGCCCATGTGGTCGCCCAACCCTCGCGATTCCACACGCCGCAGGAGGCCTACCCGCCTGGGGATAAAGTGTTCTTGTTGACGCAGGGACAGTACTACGGATGCTTGGCGACGGTGAGTTTTTCATTATAGTCTGGTCCAAAATTCTACGTGCTCCCTAGAATTTTGTCCAATGACCCCAAGCTACCCATCCTTATCACTCGCGCGTAATTATATTGCTGTCGCGACTGTGCGACGGGCGCCCGCAGTGAGTGTGCGAGCGCGACAGCAACATAATTACGCGCGAGCGATAAGGATGGATAGCTTGGGGTCATTGGACAAAATTCTACGTGCTCCCGGACCAGACTATAGTCGATATCGATAACTTAGTCGATAACATAACGCGCGACACGCGGTAGTAACCGATGTGTCGGCGCATGTGGTGGCACAACCCTCACGATTCCATACGCCGCAGGAGGCTTATCGGCCTGGAGATAAAGTGTTAATGTTGACGCAGGGACAGTACTACGGATGCTTGGCGACGGTGAGTTTTTCATTATAGTCTGGTCCAAAATTCTACGTGCTCCCTAGAATTTTGTCCAATGACCCCAAGCTACCCATCCTCATCGCTCGCGCGTAATTATATTGCTGTCGCGACTGTGGGACGGGCGCCCGCAGTGAGTGTGCGAGCGCGACAGCAACATAATTACTCGCGAGCGATAAGGATGGATAGCTTGGGGTCATTGGACAAAATTCTACGTGCTCCCGGACCAGACTATAGTCGATATCGATAACTTAGTCGATAACATAACGCGCGACACGCGGTAGTAACCGATGTGTCGGCGCATGTGGTGGCACAACCCTCACGATTCCATACGCCGCAGGAGGCTTATCGGCCTGGAGATAAAGTGTTAATGTTGACGCAGGGACAGTACTACGGATGCTTGGCGACGGTGAGTTTTTCATTATAGTCTGGTCCAAAATTCTACGTGCTCCCTAGAATTTTGTCCAATGACCCCAAGCTACCCATCCTCATCGCTCGCGCGTAATTATATTGCTGTCGCGACTGTGGGACGGGCGCCCGCAGTGAGTGTGCGAGCGCGACAGCAACATAATTACTCGCGAGCGATAAGGATGGATAGCTTGGGGTCATTGGACAAAATTCTACGTGCTCCCGGACCAGACTATAGTCGATATCGATAACTTAGTCGATAACATAACGCGCGACACGCGGTTGTAACCGATGTGTCGGCGCACGTGGTGGCCCAACCCTCGCGATTCCATACGCCGCAGGAGGCCTATCCTCCTGGAGATAAAGTGTTCTTGTTGACGCAGGGACAGTACTACGGATGCTTGGTGACGGTGAGTTACTAGATCATTGTCACTAGTCGATAATTTGGTCGATAAAATAACCCGCGCCACGCGATAGATACAGATTTGTCGGCGCACGTAGTCTCTCAGCCATCTTGTATTGCGCACCCTTTTGAGAGATGCCGAATTCGCATACAGTTACCTTTTCTTTCACTGAATCATGAGTCGGTGTTTCCTCCAAAGGATGTGTACAATACATTCCAACAGCAGGGGCGTTCACACAAGACCAGCTTCTTGCCATGCCGTTTCGAGCAGGTCACGATAAATGCTGAGCGCCTGTTGGCAGTGTTTTGTTACCTACCATTTCTTTGTTATATGTTTTTCTGTGTCAATAAATTATTTCTATTTCTTATACCAGTTGGTGGAATCCGAGGGCGTTCGCAACGGTCGAATGAAGGTGCAAGTGACCGAGCGGCCGGAGCCCGTGCCGGTCCTGAATTCATCCGCCATGCCGTACCGAGGCGCCAACCACGCGGCTGCGCAGTGTGGTAAGTATTATACCAGGCCTGTTCATCTCCGCGAGTTTACATCGAAAACAATACACGCACGATGGCCCACCTACAGGATACTATTCGACAAGGCCTCACATACGAGCGAACATTGACTCACGCACGCGTATTCTTGTGTATGATGGAAGAAAATGGTGTACTAAATACTGTGCAGTATTTAACTGCCTAAATAATAATGAAAACACAGAATGTACTTTTTTAGGTTGCTTCAAGACACTGAGAGGTAAATAAGTAGTTAATATTATTCATGATAATGAATGCTAAATCATGTATTTCCTCCGCTATTTTCCGCAGTTTGGCACCTCACGTCACATCATTTTACCGAAGTCAGCCCTATAGCTTCGGCGCAGTGCCGATCACTGACGTTTGTCAACAAAATGGTGCTTGACTCTTGAGACAAGCTAAATTACACCATATTGTGAATGACATTGAGCATATTTTTTTTAAATACCTTCGCGAAGTAAAACTTCTGTACGTTGTACTTATTATTATTCTGTGATTATACGTCTAGCGCTTAATTCAGTCAGTGCCTGAGGTATGGGAGCGGCAGAGGAGGGTTGACATTGACAAAAGACGTGACAGAGAATACAAATCTGAATCTGAATCGCATTTGATGTCTCGCTGACGTTTGACGTCCCAAAAACACCCTCCCGTGTCGGTCCCATACCTCAGGCACTGACTTGAGTTAACGGTAAGTTATAATACAGTTTAAGTATTCGATGGAAATTAACGTTAATCGTATAGCATAATGGTAAACAAGAAGTGGTTTTTAAGACACAGGCATAGTATAGATTGTCCTGTATCTTTACAATAGATAATTTGTTTTATGGATAAAAAAGCAATAGTTTTAATTAGACCGATATAAATTTTTTGCTTTATCAAATCAATGAAAATTTACGGCGATAAAGCGCGCCCAAAGTTGAAAAGTTGTGATACATGACGTAATTATGTGGTAAAACGTCAGTCGCTAGCGAGAACGTTTATAAAGTCCGGTCGCTGAGCACATAGAATTTCGCCCAATGACCCCAAGCTACCCCTACCCATCCTTATCGCTCGCGCGTAATTATATTGCTGTCGCGATTGTACGACGGGCGGCCGCAGTGGGTGTGCGAGCACGAAATAAATAGGGATGTTTCTTGGGTCAAAAAGCAAGAGTTTTAATTAGTCCGTCAGTTAACTTATCAAAAAATACTCTACACGTATTTTTCACTTTTTCAAACTAATGAAAATTTAAAGAGATAAAGCGCGCCAAAGTTCATAAGAAGAGGCCCGTGACGTCAATGCGTGCATAAAAGTGCCGCACGTTGTGACGTCGTGCGGAACTTCAACGCACCATAACTATGTAATTATTTGTTAGATTGACAAATAAAAATATATGTGTCCAATATTTTTTGATATTAAACATGACGGACTAAAAAAATTTTTTAGGAAACTAGCCTATTCTATCTGCTCGTCGACCGGACTTCTGTTACTTCTTAACAACGGCACTGAAGCTCATTTCCAACGTGGTTGTCGCAGGTATATCCACACAGATGCTGTCGCGCGTGACGGGCTCGGTGCTGGTGGTGGCGGGCGAGCGCCACGACCTGCCCACGGAGCAGATCGGCAAGACCAACATCGGCCTCAACCTCAAGTTCAACAAGAAGGTACTCACTCTAACTTATCTACTGTCACTCGAGAAACTGAATGAAACACTGTAGTTGAATTTGGACTAGTCTGTTCGCCGAGAGTTGATAAATATTATGAAATGTCTTGCAATAGCGACTGTCGCCACAGAATAAGTAATAGTACAGGTACAGAAGGATTACTCCGCACGACGATTTAAATAAATGCGAGTCTTGCTGCGACGCGATACAGTGGAATTCAGCTCGCACAGCACTACGTACCTACAATTTTATTCACCTACAAGTTTTGTCTCTTTCTATCGCGTGCCTCTGAACTCTTCTTACGCTGTTAGGGTTGCTGTCTAGTGAAAAAATAATTAATCTACTTATTTGTAATGAGGTACGTATGTAGGTAAGTAAAAATAACATTTCAAATATACCTAATTAGGATTAAAAAAACTTGTTCTATTACAATGTCTTCATTCATACCTACCTATTTTAACATAAGACAAATAAATAAAAACATACTATTACAGACAAAAAAGAATCCTATACTATCCTAAGAATTTTATTATTGATTACCTACATGGCCAACATACCTTTCAGCATCTTTGGGAAGCGAAAAAAAAAGATAAATCCGGTAATTTCTTTTCGAATTTAAACACCCGAACGCCGCACAATATTTCTTTCTCTTTATGTCCATTTTTAAATAATACTTCGATCATAGAATTATAATCATACTAAAACGCAAGCCAGCGTCCTGACGGGCGAGCGCGTGACACTCGACTGATATAATACCCGCCGGCGGGGCGCTTCGCTGTAGGTAATTATCGGATGTACCAAACCCATCAACTTATTACTTTACTCAATTTAAAGATTAAAAACTTGTCGCGGGATTTACTAGTGTAAAAAATACATTAATTACGTAACTTGATTTTGCTAAAAGTCTGATCTGAGAAAAAATCAAATAGGTAAATTATACATTATTTCTTTATTATTATGTATGATGTACTACTGTCTTAGGTATGATACAACTACGGATTAAGATCGTTTAGTCGACGCAGCGTTGAAATTGTACAGATAAATGCAGTTTGCGCACTCACTCCGCGACGTCAAGCAATAAAAACCTAAAATTCGAACGCCAACTTTTTGCTACAACGCTCTTAACAACGCCACTGAAGCTCATTTCCAACGTGTTTGTTGCAGGTATATCCACACAGATGCTGTCGCGCGTGACGGGCTCGGTGCTGGTGGTGGCGGGCGAGCGCCACGACCTGCCCACGGAGCAGCTCGGCAAGACCAACATCGGCCTCAACCTCAAGTTCAACAAGAAGGTACTCACTTTATCTTGTCTACTGTCACTCGAGAAACTGAATGAAACACTGTAGTTGAATTTGGACTAGTCTGTTCGCCGAGAGTTGATAAATATACTCAACATCAAATAAACCGCACCTTCCGCGACGCGAACTTTAACGATTCTCTTCTGACACAATCATGGTACCCCAACAATATTGGTGTCATTTAAAAGCCCAATAAATATCCTTACAGAAAAACATATTTAATTTCTTAATAAATGATTAACATATACCATGAATGTGACTTGAAAAAATACCTCACTTTGGACCCACCTATGGGATCAATTAGACCAATTTTTATGGTTATAAAACCAAATAATGATCTCACGTGTCTTCATTAACAGATGGATAGCGATTAATCCCAACTTAACAGTTTTATAGTCCTAGTCTCCTACACATAAAGTAAAGACTTTCTTATTGGGCATATTATTGGGTTTTTTCTGTGTTTGCGATGGCATAGGTGGCTTTTCAAACTTAAATTCAAACTTAAATTGTGTTTAATATTTACTTATTTTTTGTTACTAGTATAAAGTGCATTTACAACGCCATTTAACTTCAAGCCTCGTACTCCAGTCCCCAAGAGACAGGTGTTACCTAGTTTGGGGACCACTGGCAATGTTGTCTAAGTTGTTAACTTGGTTGAATAAAGGTTTTTATTATTATTTTTTTTATTATTATTATAGCCATAAAACTTGGCTCAAGCGTAACTACCTATTTTTTGAAGAAGTGACTCTGGATCCTTCTAAAGACACATTTTTGGGGTAAAAACCTTTCCTTTAATGAAATGAAGGTTAGAACTAGGCTTTTAAATGGTGCCAATATTGGTGGGAAGTGGGGATGCATACGTTTGAAAATACTTGTTGCGGGAGGTGCGATTTATTTGATGTCGAGTGTATTATGAAATGTCTTGCAATAGCGACTGTCGCTTAATTATCGCATTCTGTATGGCGGGCGTCGTTTGTCACAACGCGCAATGAGTACCATGGTACGAGCCACGCAGCTGTCGTCAAGCGCCCCGGCCGGTGGGCGGCGGCGGCCACAGCGTGACCACTTTTAGTTGATTTCTACTTTTTTGATAGATTTAAGGCAAAGAGAACGATGATTTAGTAGTGCGAAATCGTTTAGTAGATTTTGGTAGATAATTGGTATTTTAGAACATTCTTATAAATGGTAGTCCAAAATTAAATAGGGTATTTGACACCACCAATCGATTGACGTACTTTTTAAAACTGTCAAAACGACACTCTCCCATAGATTTTGTACGGCAATACTGGCATGTGACGTCACAATTTTATCAACTCAATGAAACTACTTTTTTCAATTATAATGCATCGAAAAATCGTTATTTACAGATAATTAAAAATTAATTAAGTTTTTAAGACCAGAAAGAAGTGTCTTTTAAAAAAAGTTGTGCTTTAGAATTATTTGGATATGGTGTCAAATACCCAATTGTAACCGAGCCGAGAATCCAGGCCAAAAAAAGGCCAGGTCAAATAATCTACCAACTTTTTCATTATATCGACAAAAATAATTAGCGGGCCGTAATTTATAACGAGTTTAGAACCTCTGATATTTTTTTTTATCAACTCTCGGCGAACAGACTTTACTGTCACTCGAGACACTGAATGAAACACTGTAGTTGAATTTGAATTAGATATACTCGTATACCCATTTTCAATAGGTTGTTTGATTAGATTCCAAAAGCTATCGTAGATTATCAAGTTCACAACTAAAAAGTATTGATTCAACTGTCACAATTGTTTCGTTTTGATCCGTTATTGATTCGTTCGTCGAACACCCTGTCAACCTGTTACCGTAATCTGCGGGAGTCATAAAAAATCACGAGCATACCAAGTACATTTTTATGCACCTTAAATCAAAAGCGTAAGGCTAAAATTTGTAGAAACACTGCCTTTTCGCGTCACGTGATTCGCCTGTTTAATGGTCACTAGATATGCGCTTTTTTACTTGACCAGATTTTAACGTTTGTATCATCATTTTTCTACTTTAATCCGTCTAGGGTTAAAGTTATACGGTGTGACGAATGATTCGTAATTCACTGAGGTTGTCAATTTTATTACTAAATTAAGCATCTTTTCGTTATCAGAATCAAGAGGTATCCGGCTACACGCGCCGCTGCAAAGTATCCAACACGTGGCTGTATTCCGACCGCTGCATCGCGCTCGTGAAGTCTTACGCGATGCAGTATCCAGACCTATTCGACACGCTGGCCAGGAACCTCGGCTGCGACATATTCTTCGAGAGCGACCTGTGGCCCAACGAGATGGGGTGAGTGGTTAATGCAGATTTAGCTGGGTCCACACAAGAACACATTGCGTTCGAGACACTCAGGTTCTGCGCTAAAACTCGCGCGGATCCCCACAATCGGGTTTTATTTAGCTGCTCATGCGTATGACGTGTTTCCACACGATAAACGTTTATCACGCCATTTTATCGATTTTACGCGATAAGCCCATACAAATTGACGTCTAAAATCGATAAGATTTTGTCACGGTACGCATCCTAGCCCTATGTTATGGATTACTTATGACAATACATAACCACGTGGCTCGGATCGTTGCATCGCCTTAAGGTGGTCGGCCCTTTTTTAAATGTCAGAATCAACAGGTCTGGGTGAGTGGTAAATGCTAACTGCTTTAGCTAGGTCTACACCAGACGGTACATTGCGTAAGGCACTAAGACGCATGACTGTTGGTTTTGGGAAAATGATTTCGATGTTACGTCGCCTACGTCCTATACCGTGTATATTATTCGTGTATAGTACCGTGCGTTTAAGTAAATGCCTAGTAACATTTCACCCTTCTCCATCAGGCAAAAGAAAGCGAACGAAGTCCAGAACTGGTTGAAGAGTCTGCCGCACAACAACGCGGTGCGCCGCGAATGCGGCTCCGAAGCCCTGGAGCCCGAGGAGCTGAAGGCTCTATGGGGGTCGCTGGAGAAGCAGCTGCAAGACCTCAAGCACAAGGAGAAAAAGGTCACGCTGCAGGTCAAGTGGAACCTGCTGTATAAGGTTTGTCATTTGTTTTTAATGAGGGCTATCGTTTTTATACTTAACATTTGGCACCCCTGGCGATTGACAGGACCTTACTCTAAAGTGGCGCCACCTTGATGAGTGCAAATGCGATAGTCCTCCTACCACTTTAGCGCTCACCAGTTGGCGCCACTGTCTTCGCTACTAGCAAGTGACAGAACCTTACTCTACAGTGGCGGCAACTGGTGAGCGCTAAAACGATAGCCCTCATTGTGTAACTTGAGTTGAATATCAAATGTCAAGTAATCAACTGTTTCTTTTAATTTTTGTAATTGAATAAAGTGCATTGGTCATATTATGTGATATCGAATTAAGATTTTATTAGTGTGTTGAATAGATAATTATAATTAAAAAAAGAATCCTATACTATCCTAAGAATTTTATTATTGATTACCTACATGGCCAACATACCTTTCAGCATCTTTGGGAAGCGAAAAAAAAAGATAAATCCGGTAATTTCTTTTCGAATTTAAACACCCGAACGCCGCACAATATTTCTTTCTCTTTATGTCCATTTTTAAATAATACTTCGATCATAGAATTATAATCATACTAAAACGCAAGCCAGCGTCCTGACGGGCGAGCGCGTGACACTCGACTGATATAATACCCGCCGGCGGGGCGCTTCGCTGTAGGTAATTATCGGATGTACCACGCGGAGTGAGCCAGGCCTGCTGTCGCTTAATTATTGCATTCTGTATGGCGGGCGTCGTTTGTCACAACGCGCACTGAGTACCATGGTACGAGCCACGCAGCTGACGTCAAGCGCCCCGGCCGGCAAGCGGCGGCGGCCACAGCGTGACCACTTTTAGTAGATTTCTACTTTTTTGGTAGATTTGAGGCAAAGAGAACGATGATTTAGTAGTGCGAAATCGTTTAGTAGATTTTGGTAGATAATTGGTATTTTTAGAACATTCTTATAAATGGTAGTCCAAAATTAAATTGTAACCGAGCCGAGAATCCAGGCCAAAAAAAGGCCAGGCCAAATAATCTACCAACTTTTTCATTATATCGACAAAAATAATTAGCGGGCCGTAATTTATAATGAGTTTAGAACCTCTGATATTTTTTTTTTATCAACTCTCGGCGAACAGACTTTACTGTCACTCGAGACACTGAATGAAACACTGTAGTTGAATTTGAATTAGATATACTCGTATACCCATTTTCAATAGGTTGTTTGATTAGATGCCAAAAGCTATCGTAGATTATTAAGTTCACAACTAAAAAGTGTTGATTCAAATGTCACAGTTGTTTTGTTTTGATCCGTTATCGATTCGTTTCCTCGCCTTACCTAACACCCTGTCAACCTGTTAACGTAATCCGCGGGAGTCATAAAAAATCACGAGCATACCAAGTACATTTTTATGCACCTTAAATCAAAGGCGTAAGGCTAAAATTTGTAGAAACTCTGCCTTTTCGCGTCACGTGATTCGCTTGTTTAATGGTCACTAGATATGCGCTTTTTTACTTGACCAGATTTTAACGTTTGTATCATCATCTTTCTACTTTAATCCGTCTAGGGTTAAAGTTATACGGTGTGGCGAATGATTCGTAATTAACTTAGGTTGGCAAATAGTAAATTAAGATATTTTCTCTATCAGAATCAAGAGGTATCCGGCTACACGCGCCGCTGCAAAGTATCCAACACATGGCTGTATTCTGACCGCTGCATCGCGCTCGTGAAGTCGTACGCGATGCAGTATCCAGACCTATTCGACACGCTGGCCAGGAACCTCGGCTGCGACATATTCTTCGAGAGCGACCTGTGGCCCAACGAGATGGGGTGAGTGGTTGGACTATAGTCTGGTCTGCGAGCACGTAGAATTTTGTCCAATGACCCCAAGCTACCCATCCTTATCGGTCGCGCGTAATTATGTTGCTGTCGCGCTCGCACACTCACTGCGGGCGCGCGTTGCACAGTCGCGACAGTAATATAATTACGCGCGAGCGATAAGGATGGGTAGCTTGGGGTCATTGGACAAAATTCTACGTGCTCCCGGACCAGACTATAGATTAAGCAGAATTGAGGAGTTCCGCAAGGAGAACAGTGTCAGTGGGCGGGCAATGCTCGTAGAGCTGATTGTCCTTGGGGCAAAAAACTTTTACGAGCGACCACAGACTGGAAGACATTTTGTAAAGCATATCTCGCACTAGTTGGATCGACGTGTCTGGTGAAGGTCGCGGGAAGTACCTCAATGCGGGCAGCGCAGCCCGGTCATTGTTTAAATCCTTTTGGGAGGCCTTTGTCCAGCAATGGACGTCTTTTGGTGTCCATTGGGCTAGGATGCACGCCTTGATATACTCTTATCGATGACAAAATGTATGGGCATCGATAAAATGGCGTGATAACCGCTCATTGCGGCGCGCATCCTAGGCCTACAGCAATGGATGTCATCTGTCGTCCAACGGGTGACTGTATTGATATTCTGACCGCTGCATCGCGCTCGTGAAGTCTTACGCGATGCAGTATCCAGACCTATTCGACACGCTGGCCAGGAACCTCGGCTGCGACATATTCTTCGAGAGCGATCTGTGGCCCAACGAGATGGGGTGAGTGGTTGGACTAAGCAGAATTGAGATCCGTAGGAAAACCAAACTCATCGCCATAGCCCGCAATAGCCCGCAATAGCCAAACGTAAGTGGCAGGCACAAAGCTCGTAGAGCTGATTGTCGTTGGGGCAGAAAAGTTCACGCGTGCAATACTGTCCTCAAATCTAAATAAAAAAATAAAATAGCTAAACTATCGTAGGTCCGTATAAAAAATGGCAATGCCAGATTTTGTATGGAAGGTGGCGTCTTTTTTTTTTCGCGCGGCCATCGACCAAAACTTTGTTTTTTGATTACAAAATAGTTTAATAAACCAAACTTACTATGGCATGTATACCTCTAAACTCAGTCTGAACTGAGTTACGAGAATTAGAAGTTTGATGATTTTTCATACTGGATTTGTTTTTTGCGCGCAAGTTTTGTAAGAAATTGCAACAAAATAGTGACATTGTCTTTTATAAGCGTGGGAAGGGAACTTTAGAAAGTCATTCGGTCACCACGATCTGTCACATAAACAATTTTAGCCTTGCGTTAAATGAATCCAAACTCCTTTGCCATCTTACTTAGTTCTTATAAATCGTTTCATCCACGAAGACACGACGCACTATTCTTCCGCGAATGTTTGTGTGTTATAGGTACACGCTAAATTATCCATGAGTACACGCACACTACAATAATGACGCTCGGATTGCTCGGATCAAACTCCCTGCACCCCGCGCTTCCAACCAATTCGACCAAAAATTGGTTGGGCGCGTCTTCGTAGATGAAACAAAAATCAAAATTTATTTATTTATTTAAGGACAGCTAACAAGACATACACAATTAACAGAAAAAAAAACATTGAAAACAATACGTGTTTATAGTGTAGCCTTAATTAAAAGCTGCCACGACATGTGCATAGATTGCGTGGAAGCGTAGTATCGACTAAAGTCTAAAAAACAAAAAAAATGAATTGAATGTAGATATAAGAATTTAATTCAAGCCAGGAATCCAGCATATCAACTGCATGTTTTAGATAATAGTGACTGTAGGTAGAATACAATATTTAAATGCAACTGCATTTAAATATTGTATTCTACCTACAGTTTGATATCAGACCGCTGACTGAAATGAAATGTAAAAACCAGAAAGTAAACCAGAAAACCCAGAAAAGAAACCATAAACACCAGCAAAGATGATAAGATGCACAGCTATGAATGTAGATAAATCTAAAATATTTATTCAGTTTAGACCACAAGTGGCACTTATGAACGTCAAATATGATCAAAACGATCTATGTATACCGTGCCTAATGTTTCACTCTTCTCCATCAGGCAAAAGAAAGCAAACGAAGTCCAGAACTGGTTGAAGAGTCTGCCGCACAACAACGCGGTACGCCGCGAGTGCGGCTCCGAAGCCCTGGAGCCCGAGGAGCTGAAGGCTCTATGGGGGTCGATGGAGAAGCAGCTGCAAGACCTTAAGCACAAAGAGAAGAAGGTCACGCTGCAGGTCAAGTGGAACCTGCTGTATAAGGTTTGTCATTTGTTTTTAATGAGGGCTATCGTTTTTATACTTAACAGTTGGCACCCCTGGCGATTGACAGGACCTTACTCTACAGTGGCGCCACCTTGATGAGTGCAAATGCGATAGTCCTCCTACCACTTTAGCGCTCACCAGTTGGCGCCACTGTCTTCGCTACTAGCAAGTGACAGGACCTTACTCTACAGTGGCGCCACCTTGATGAGTGCAAATGCGATAGTCCTCCTACCACTTTAGCGCTCACCAGTTGGCGCCACTGTCTTCGCTACTAGCAAGTGACAGAACCTTACTCTACAGTGGCGGCAACTGGTGAGCGCTAAAACGATAGCCCTCATTGTGTAACTTGAGTTGAATATCAAATGTCAAGTAATCAACTGTTTCTTTTTATTTTTGTAATTGAATAAAGTGCATTGGTCATATGTGATATCGAATTAAGATTTTATTAGTGTGTTGAATAGATAATTATAATTATTATCTTAGCAAAGTGGTTAAAAAGACTTTTTCTTTTTGTAAGAATTGGGCGCTTCACCAGTAGCTGTTCTAAAGTACAACTTTTTAAAATAAATAAAAATAAAAACACACTTCATGCTGGTCTTAAAAACCCAAATAATTTAAATCAACTATAAATAAGAATTTTTGGTTGCTTTGTAATTGTAAAAAAATTGTCAAGTTGAGTTGGCAAAATAGTGACTTCATCAGGCTATTGCCCTACAAAAGAGTCTCTTTTGACAGTTCATAAAAGTACGTCAATTGATTCTGCTGTCAAATACTATACTGGGTTTTTCGCAGTCAAGCTGTAGATTCTTTTTACACAATAGGTGCAGCGGTAGAAACACGAGATGGACTATTCACGCAATCTTTTTAACTATTCCCCTAAAGGCGGAGCTCCACGAAGGCAACATCCAGCCGGACCCTTCAGCGGACTACAAGCTTTACGACCGAGTGGTGTGCGTGGCGCGAGGTCTTAGCGTCCCAGCTGGTGCAGTCGGTACCGTCACCGCTGTGTATCCACCGCCTAACGCCAATACTGTGCGCCTGTCTGATAGGCTCAATGCCGAGCCTACCTACCAGGTACTTAGTTATTACGAACCTATTAGTAGGTCTTCGCTGTTAAAAAACTAACGTTGGAATTTGCTAATGTGGTTATGCAATAAACGATTGAGTATTGAAACTTTTTTGGCTAATGTTAACAAAATTCTGCATATGAAATAAAAGAGCTGTATGTTTCTTTCAATAAATAAAAAACTTAAAACCCTTCTCTCTCACCTGGTACTACTGAAATGCCCGCTATACACGAACAGTTAGCTTGTAATAAACATACATGGACCGCTTGCAGTCATAGTCAATAGTTTGAAGCTGACATTGATAAATACTGGAGCTCACAACTGCTCGAGTGGTTCCATGTACTTAGAATACTGTAGTTTGCTATGCAGTCGCAGCTTGTAACTGTCGAAGAAACTATACCTCGCACAATATGCGTTTGAAAATTATAATCTGAAACTCTGATAGAGCCTATTCGACGATATTTCATGAATTAGTTACCTGAGAATCAAAATCATGGCTAATTATTTAAAAATTTCACAGGTAATGTTCGACGAACCATTCCCAGGCGGTATGCACGAAGAATTATTTGATGAAGCGCGATTTTACAGGTTAGTAATACAAATCTTTTTCAGATTTTAAAACTATTATTGGGTATTTAGGGTTAAAAATATGTGTTTGAGAGCAGTTTGTAGGTTAATGCAAATGTCACGTCTAAAAGTGCCTATCAAACCCTAAGCGGTCACATGAGCTGCGGAAATAATTGACTTATATTGTGTCTCGATTCACGTGTATAACGCCCGTATTCACAAACATTACTATGAGGTCTCACAGTGTGCGTGGACGCACAGGGTGACACACGAACCAATCACAGAGCTCTATTCAACACTGTGCGTTCGATTTTCTGCTTCACCTAAGCAAGCATCATTTGTGAATACGGGCGTAAGTGCTTTAAAACCCCTTTTTTTGGGGTTCTTTTTTTGCAATCAGTTGCCAGACTATAAGCAGATGTGTTGAGTACTTGAGTGTCTTCTTAATCTTAAAGAGCTGGCCTAAGTCATGCTGTCTTCATAAATCATGATTTAAAACCCCTTTTAATTAATGTATATTGTTCCCAGAATGCTGCCAACAAACATGTTGAACATTTCGTACGGGCGCAAGCTGCGTAACTCCGTAGTCACGGCCGCGCCGCCGTCACCATCCTACCACATCACGCAGCCGCCCACGCTACTTCGGAGAGAAGATGGACACCACTCCGCGTTCGCTAGCTATAGGTAAAAAATACAGGGATTGCAGTGGTGGGAAAGTGTGGTAAGATAAGTCCCATTATAAGTCACAATCAATCACAATCAGGGAAGATGGACACCACTCCGCGTTCGCTAGCTATAGGTAACAATAACAATTAAACTGCTCCGAAGCAAATGGGTTTTTATTCGCGGTTAAGCTCTAGATCCTAGCCTAGCTACACAGGAGTTGCAGCGGTGCGAACGAGAGGTGGGAATAGTCCCGCATAGGTAACAATCATGGCACATAGAGATCAGACTCATACGGTCGCAAGCTGTGCTACTTTGTGGTCGCGGTCGCGCCTCCGTCGCCATCCTACCACATCACGCAACCTCCCACGCTACTTCGGAGGAAAGACGGACACCACTCCGCGTTCGCTAGCTATAGCTAGCGAACGCGGAGTGGTGTCCGTCTTTGGTAATGATAGCACATAATACCTGTAGGCCTAAGATGCACGCCGCGATAAGCGGTTATCACGCCATTTTATCGATTTTGCCCGTACATTTTGACGTCGATAAAAGTTATCACGGCGCGCATCTTAGGCCTGCTGGCCGAGTTAACTGCGCACCTGGCAGCTGTGACGTCACATCGACGCTCTGGTACGGAGTCGCATTCCAGCGAGGTGCGCAGTTAGTTCGATAGGTTAGCAGTGATGCAGACTCATACGGTCGCAGGCTGTGCTACTTTGTGGTTGCGGCCGCGCCGCCGTCGCCCTCCTACCACATCACGCAGCCGCCCACGCTACTACGCAGGGAAGACGGACACCACTCCGCGTTTGCTAGCTATAGGTAATTTATTTATTTATTTATTTTATTTATTTTATTGTCGGCCGTTTGGTGTAGTGGTTCAGAACGGACTACTATTCCGAGAGGTCCCGGGTTCGATTCCCGGCCGGGCAGAAATTGAAATGATGAATTTTAATTTCTGTGACGGGTCTGGGTGTGACTATGTATAATATGTATGTATTTAAAAAAAAAAGTATAAAAGTAGTATATCCGTTAAGCTAGCACCCATAACACAAGCATTAAGTTGCTTACTTTGGGGCTAGCTGGCGCTGTGTGAAATTGTCCAAAGATTTATTTATTTTTTATTTTTTATTTTTATTTATTTTATTTATTTATTATTCATTATTAAGCAATTACATGATAGCACATAATACCTGGTCGAGCTAATTGTGCACTTGGCAGTTGTGACGTCACATCGACGCTCTGGTACGGAGTCGCATTCCAGCGAGGTGCGCCTTTAGTTCGATCGGTTAGCAGAGATGCAGACTCATACGGGCGCAAGCTGTGCTACTTTGTGGTCGCGGTCGCACCGCCGTCACCTTCCTACCACATCACGCAACCGCCCACGCTACTACGCAGGGAAGACGGACACCACTCCGCGTTCGCTAGCTATAGGTAATGATAGCACATAATACCTGTAGGCCTAAGATGCGCGCCGCGATAAGCGGTTATCACGCCATTTTATCGATTTTGCCCGTACATTTTGACGTCGATAAAAGTTATCACGGCGCGCATCTTAGGCCTGCTGGCCGAGTTAACTGCGCACCTGGCAGCTGTGACGTCACATCGACGCTCTGGTACGGAGTCGTATTCCAGCGAGGTGCGCAGTTAACTCCAGCGGGTAGTAGAGATGCAGACTCATACGGGCGCAAGCTGTGCTACTCTGTGGTTGCGGCCGTGCCGCCGTCACCATCCTACCACATCACGCAACCGCCCACGCTATTTCGGAGGGAAGACGGACACCACTCCGCGTTCGCTAGCTATAGGTAGCAATGACGGATTAGCAAGCTGAAGTGGCAACGGGCAGGGCATATAGTACGCAGAACTGACGGCCGATGGGACAGCAAGGTTCTGGAATGGAGGCCGCGTACCGGAAAACGCAGCGTGTGACGTCCACCTACAAGGTGGACTGACGACATCGTAAAGGTAGCAGGGAAGCGCTGGATGCAGGCTGCTACCAGTCGATCAACGTGGAAAGCATTAGGGGAGGCCTATGTTCAGCGGTGGACGTCCTATGGCTGAAATGATGAGGTAACAATGATAATTTAACTTTCCCCCCGAAACAAATGGCTCTAAATCCTGGTTACACAGGAGTTGCAGCGGTGCGAACGAGAGGTAGGAATAGTCCCGCATAGGTAACAATCATGGCACATAGAGATCAGACTCATACGGTCGCAAGCTTTGTTACTTTATGGTTGCGGTCGCGCCGTCGTCGCCCTCCTACCACATCACGCAGCCGCCTAAGCTGCTACTCAGGGAAGACGGACACCACTCCGCGTTCGCTAGCTATAGGTAATGATAGCACATAATACCTGTAGGCCTAAGATGCATGCCGCGATAAGCGGTTATCACGCCATTTTATCGATTTTGCCCGTACATTTTGACGTCGATAAAAGTTATCACGGCACGCATCTTAGGCCTGTTGGCCGAGTTAACTGCGCACCTGACAGCTGTGACGTCACATCGACGCTCTGGTACGGAGTCGCATTCCAGTGAGGTGCGTAGTTAACTTGATCTGGTAGTAGAGATGCAGACTCATACGGTCGCAAGCTGTGCTACTTTGTGGTTGCGGTCGCGCCGTCGTCGCCCTCCTACCACAGCACGCAGCCGCCTACGCTGCTACTCAGGGAAGACGGACACCACTCCGCGTTCGCTAGCTACGGTAATGATGGCACATAAAAATGCAGTCTGAGTCACATTCGCATTCACGGAGGGCGTAAACTGCTCATCTTTGTGGTCGCGGTCGCGTCTCCGTCGCTTTCCTACCACATCACGCAGCCGCCCACGCTACTACGCAGGGAAGACGGACACCACTCCGCGTTCGCTAGCTATAGGTACGGGACTATTCCCAGCTCTCGTTCCCACCGCTGCAACTCTTGTGTAGCCAGAATCTACAGCTTGTGCGCCAATAAAAACCCAACCAGTGAAGGTCAAGTTTGTCCCGGGAGAAAGTTGAACTGTCATTGGACCCGCAATAAAATTAATCAGAAGAATATGGAAGGAGTTCGAAGTTGGTTCGACCCCACCAGTGCAAAGCGGATGACAGGACAAAACAAAAGTTTAATAACCACATCACGCAATCGCCCACACTACTCTGCAGGGAAGACGGACACCACTCCGCGTTCACTAGCTATAGGTAATAGTACATCATTTCAGTAGGACGTCTACTGCTAGTGTTGGTAACACTGATCGATTCCGGCTAGGAAGCCATTACACTTTTCTAAAAGCACTGTACGCTCTCGTTGTCCTAGTACAATAAATAAAACTATACAAGTTTATAACCTGCGTTTTACTCAAGCTAACAAATACGATAGGAAAGGCGACAATAGCCCAACGATATAGGCGTCGGAAATTCGGAATACCGATTCGAAATTCGACGAATGCTAGTTATATTTCAATTAAATTCTGAATGTACTGATTTACGGACAACTCATCAATCTAAAATTTCTGCTTGATATTTGTTTATGGACATCGGTTCGACCCGACAGTATATTACAGCGTGTTTTATTGTTTCAGCCCTCCAACCCCAGAAAAGGCAGAGAACAAGCCGTTACAAGATGCCCACACCTTCAATAATGTGCCACCACCACTGGTAACTTTTACAAAACATATTTAAATATAAATAAATCTTTATTTTACTCACACAAATATCGAACAGAGTTACATAGTGAATGTATAAGATACGTTTGATGTTCATTCTTGTGTGAGTCTGATGCCTATGCTAGGTAATCATAATCATAATCATAATATCTTTATTGCTTCATGTGGTACAAACAAGGTATTAAAAATAAAATAGGTATTTAGTATACCTGTAATACAGGTTGCTATTAGTTATTTGCATGTGATTATTTAACAGTGAAACGATGCTAAAGGTATATTTACTCCTTAGTACATGTCTCGTGCTTGCATTTGTTTGAGGAAGTACAACACCTCTTGCGCAGGCAATTTGAATGTACTATGGGCCATACTTCCAGCTATCCATTTCTGGTCATGTCGTCTCGTTCTATCGCAAAGAATCGCCATTTGATGAGAGCGAGAGAAAAAACGGAAATGGGTAGCTGGAACTGTGGCACATTTCTTTTGCTTTGACTTTCTATGGTTCTTACTAGCCCAAATATAATCTCAATGATTGGCTATGTAACAATAATGCTGATATTTTGAACGATTTAAATTATAAACTAAACTATAATTTGGTTATTTATCGAATTTACTTATTTATTATAATTTTCTGTACAGGATAATGGCACCAATTTGCTTAGGACTTTATTAAAAATTAGCGAAGATGAAGATTCATCTAAGAAGAAGAGTAATAAGGTAAGATACTAAAACATTTGATAACATATTAAGGCTGGGTTGCACCATCTTACTTTTACTTTAGCAAATGTCAAAATTCTGTGTCAAACTCCATACAACAAATAAAAACGGTTATTGTTATAGTTACGGTTAAAGTTAGGTGGTGAGTTGCACTCAGCGTTAGTTGCTTGCAATGTTTTTTACAAACAAAATCACTGTTGACGATTCACTAAATCCGTCAAAAACATAAAGTACTTTTCTAGATTCTTTCAACACTCAAACAATTATATTTCCAAGTAACCCAACTTAAAGTAAGAAGCTAGTAATGTTTTATAATGTTAATTTATATTTCAGACAACTACTGATACAAATTGGCGAGCCAAAAACGACACCAGCTCGCCTAGCACCACCACAGCGCAATCGCAGCAGCCCAAGTAAGTGGAATACTCAACGTAAAATGTACTCTAAACTGAAGACTAAAGACAAGGTGTCTTTATTGTACAATAGCAAGACACAATCTGGTAGGTTCTTAAATAACAAAAAAGTTTAAATAATAGAAAGAAAGATACATGTATTACAATGGACATCACACAAATACAGGCAATTACATAAACATGACAGTGGCATATAATAATGGAAGAAGAAAAAATAAAAACAAGAGTAAACTGAGCAGTGCCACCCACCCACCAACAAGATGCCCACTGCAACGGAACCCCACTCAGCATATGCCGTGGCCCACGGTGACGAAGGCCCCGGCGCTGGTTTTTAGTGTGCCCCATGCCGAGTGAGGGTAATACATCTACGACTCTACGTATACATATTAATATGTACACAAGTGGTGGTCAGAAATCCCAATTTTGTTGTTATACTCTAACGATCTTACCCGAAACACACACATGAACTAAATAGTGTACTGATTACTGATAAACTGTTGAACAAATAGCATAATATATCGTACAACCATTTGCAACTAAAAAGCTTAATTTTTAATAATAATACATGAATATCTGTTAATTTACAAAATGTTTTGTATACTTTAAATGGCAAATGTAGTAGATTCTTATGTTCCACGCAGCGATATTCATCCGTTTTGGAAATTGTTTTGTGGGTAAGAAGTTTGTGCGTTCAAGTCGGATTCATTGATGAATCACAGGACATACTCCTCTAAACGAATTCGATGTATCGTGTGACCTAGACTTAAAGGCGAGTATAGACAGAGCATTTTTATGTAATGTAACAATCTTGCAATACATACAGTGGGTCTAGACAAAGTGCAAATTATAATCGCAAACCAGTGGAAAAGTGGTCGAAAAGCCCCTTTTTTGTATGGAGTTTTGACGGATTAAATTTTCGATTCGATCAAAAAGTGCGTTTTGTCTAGGGGGGCAAGTAAAATGTAATTATGACGTTTGGTTTGTGACAGGGTAACATATTACACATTTCATAGAGCGGCTCGTTTTTCTGTTACAAGTAAATGCTGTAGACAGTCTATACTCACCTTAAGGGAAACGGATAACACCTACACATCGAATTAGTTTTTTGGAATAAACTCACTGATACTGTATAAGCCGAGTACTTTACTAATAGCTCAGTTTTGCAATTGAATTATAGCTTGTAATTATTGCGTTATCGCACATTATAAAGTAATTTCATAACGGTTTAATAAGTTCGTTTTGAAATGTAAATATCATTCATAGCGCTGCCTTGCAATTTATAGATAAATGAGTGCTTACAAAAATTAAGCACTTAATATTATCTTTTTTGAAACACTTACATTTCTTGCTCTTTTCGCTCTAATACTCAATTAACATCATATACACCATTCTCAACATAAACTAACTTAGCTTGTTGAGCCAATAAACCGCTTTTAGTATCTATTTTACATAAGGCCTCGTACATTATTATTGAAACATTTTCGACACAATATCATTTAACAATTAGCTTTATTGCAAAACGGTTATAGCTTGCTAGCCTACATAATATCATTAGTGTTTGAATTAAGCTGGGTCTCCAGCGAGTGTTTTGTCCTACACAATCAACAAAAACTTGTTAACATTGTCTTTTGTCATTCAACAAAAATATTGAATGTTGTCATGTTTTTGTTGATTGTGTAGAGCAAAACACGTGTTGGAGACCCGGCTTTAAATAGACCCATAAAAGTTTTCATATTTGATATTATTATTCGATTAATATTCGTAAACTTCCCATAATAACTTGCTTGGTAGCAGTAGGTAAGGTATCCTACTATACAAAATAGGTTCCATTTGTTTATTTCTAGCCGTCTCGGGGTTCCTTCCAATTCAATCAAAAAACATATTGTAACAAAGCTTGATCATTGCAAAATTGTAAATGAATTAATTTTAAATAACATATTTCTTAACAGAACGCAACAACCATCGAATTGGCGTAAAGAAATGGCCACCAAACCACCGCCAGGGTTCTCGAACGAGTGGACGAATAATACTTACAAGGTAAACTTTTGATAAGTAGTAAACAAATTCATTTATAATGTTCCGGTTTTGAAGAGATTCTTGATTTATCAGTATGTAATTGATATCATTGGCACTGCCAAGATAATGGCTGCAGTCAGAAACCCGCAAAGTTATGATATAAAACTACCAGAAATCGTCGGAAAACGCAACGTGTGACATGGAAATCATTAGGGGAGGCCTATGTTCAACAGTGTTGCTGAAAGGATGATGATGATTTTTTTAAAATAATTTAGGCATTTTCAATTTATTTGATGTTAGGTACTACTATCAATATGCCATGCTCTCCTTAATTTAAAGTAACATAATTAATTTGAAGTAATTTTCAAGTTCCTTCGTTTACACACTCACGTTATGTAGTGTTCATCATCTATATTATTATATTGTAATTTTTCAGGTTATACGCGTTTTCAAATTAATCGGTCGATGTTTACTGAGATATATTTTTAAAAGATAATAACGAAGGTTGGAAACGTTTGTGAGAACAACCCATGCTAACTAATACACACACATGACATGTTTGTTATTATGTTTAACAATCATTGTGTTGCAATTTGTTACATAATTTCAACAAATACACGTGTCTCTCTTTATCATATTGCCATTTGCATGACTAGTATATCATAATAAGGTCATGAGAGAAAAGTAGAATCTTGAGAAAATATTATTTTATATTATTTCATCTCAATAAACTTTAAAGTTTGGTGGGTAGGTCAGCCACAGCCTACAACCATCACTTCGGTTTTTTATAAGCTCTGATTTAGCTAATTATCAATTTCAAGGCAACTAAATCAAAAACCACACAGATGAATCCAAAGTTACTGAAATGTTTAAGTCCAGAACAGGGTTTCCTAACCTAAGGCGGTTATCACACTGCACCGCGCTCCGTCGCGGAGCGCGGGGCGACAGATTTATTAATTGTATGCAAATACCTCAGTTTGTATAGAAAACACGCGCGGCACTTCACACTGACAACGCGTCCGCGCGCGTGATTTTCTATATGAAATCACGCGCTACGCGACAGAGCGCGGCGCAGTGTGATAACCGCCTAATGTCGACGAGCCTCCCCGAACCAAAAAAAAATGTTTTGATGTCCCCTTACATGCCCATATAGAAAATAGCTTTAAAATGGTTTACATTGTCAACTTCCCCATAATTTCTCTATAGATCGTTTCATCCACGAAGACGCGCCCCACCATTCTTCCGCTAATGTTTAAGTGTTATCGGTACACGCTAAATTATCCACGAGTGCACACGCACACTACAATAATGACGCTCGGATTGCTCGGATCAAACTCCCCGCACCCCGCGCTTCCCTCGACCAAAAATTTGTGGGGTGCGTCTTCGTGGATAAAACCAGAGTAAATACAAATGAGTAGGTTATCTTCATAGAAACGCACCGAGCGCGGTGAGCTTGCCAAAACATACACTGACAAAATTTAGCGTGGATTAGCGGGGTGTTGCGCCGAATTTTGTCAGTGTGTGCGTGCGCGCCGCATACGTATTGGCGCGCTCACATACAAACCGCGCTCGGTGCGTTTCTATGAAGATGACCTACTCATTTGTATTTACTCTGATAAAACGATCTATAACACTGTAATGTTCTTTCAGAACCAGCCACCGGTGCCCCCTTTCCCCGCCTTTAACCAACCTTTCCAAGGGCCTGTTCCTGGGCCCACTCAAATCCCATTCCCGCAGTTCCAAAACCCTCACTTCGCACGCAACCCTAGCTTCGGTTACCATGGCAACCAGGACTCGCAGCGCCAACATCACCAACAGGCCAGCGTCCAACAGGCCAACGTCCAATACCGGCCGTATCAGCCTGGTGTGCCAGCCTTCCCCAAACATTTGCCGACGGTCAGCGGGAACAACATCACGCTCGGTCCAAGCTGGGTCCAAGGACAGGTACTATACTTCCAGGTGATTTCTTTTAACCCTTCCTTCTAAGGTTTGTACAAATAGCATCATATTTTAATAACTTAGATATTCAATATACGTTTTTTTAATACGAGTGGGACTCGTTGTTTCTATTTTTGGCAATAGATTAAGAGTGTCCAAGTAGTAACACTGTTACTGTAACATTAATTTCATATCGAGAAGATGATGATGTAAATAAAGATCCAGAAATGTACAGAATATTATACATTTTAAATAATATCAAACATTTGACCGATCTTTGAAGAAATTCGATTACGGTATTCATTATTACTTTACAAATAATTGTACTAATGTATCTCTTTTATTACAGTTCTCCCCTATTTTGTATTTTAGCAAATTGTGACAATTTTATTTCACATCAATTATCCGTGATGCTATTTGTACGTACGTAAGTAATTCGCAGTTTCTAGTAGAGTTTATTATGGAATTGAGCAGCGCACTTGCTCTTAAATTAAAAATGAACACTGAACAAAAATAAATGAACACTTTGAACAGAACACTTGAAATATTTGAAGACAATTCAGAATGCTCAGAACTGATATTAACAGCATTTATATTATATTGTTTTTACTGCTGCTAAGTTCTTCTCTTGTGGAGTGGTATGTAAAAATAGATATTAAATATGTGTTCTATGTAAATCGATGTCGATTGATGTAAGATTGGCATTGCATGGAAAGATATCGAAAAGAGTACGTTTCGATATCAAGCTCTGACTGTACTGCGATCTACTAATGTTTCTTAACCTTATAGCCTGCGACTAACTTCTGGTATGGAAATGTGACGTCACGACGTGACGTGGCGTAAATATGCTGCTCCAATACAAACTACATTATAATGATCATGCACACAAATATGTATTGTGCAAAAATTAACCGCGGACATTCTGCCAATAGTTCGTGACATCCAAAGTAACCAAAAAGTAGCACAATTTATTCCAAAATCGTAAAAAAGACGTGTTCCGAAAATTTTGGCTACTTTTGGGTGCTACGATCTATTTACCAATAGGAGATATAGTGAGTTTACGCCACGCCAAGCTCGTCGCTACTGTTGACATATCCTTGTGTTCCCTTCTCCTGCATGTGACAGTACCTATAGATGACCCACGCTGAACTGTCCCACCAAACTCAATGACAGGGGGGCGCTACCATCGTTCAACTATATGGTTTCCAACATGGCAAAAATCGAAACCAGCGATCCGATATTGATGGTGGCGCCCCACTGTCAATGTCATGGATAGGACAGTTCAGTATTTTGGAACTATATCATGATATATTTTGTATTTTTTGACATTTGGAAAGATACTATTGGTGGTAAAGTAAATCTAGGATGTCAAATTGAGTAAATTTTTCGTCATACCATAGATATAGTTCGACAAACTATTCTGTCAAACTATTGGCCCAAATTGAAAATCTAATTTGAGTATAGTTAGCCTCAAAATTGGTTGTATTATCAGTGTATTAACTGCCACGTAGTGTTGATTCCAATAGTCATATTTTCGATTGCAATATGCGAATGCTTTTTTTAAAACTCGTTAAATTGTCAACGCATTCGTATACTTTAAAAGCACCAATTGAAATCAACACACAGTAGTGTATTGGACCAGCTAGGATTACAATATTCTATGTAATATGTTGTATAATTATTAAAGCCTGGTCCGTGAGCACGTAGAATTTTGTCCAATGACCCCAAGCTATCCATCCTTATCGCTCGCGCGTAATTTATTATATTGCTGTCGCGACTGTGCGACGGGCGCCCGCAGTGAGTGTGCGAGCGCGACAGCAAGCGAGCGATCCTTCGCGTGTAATTATGTTGCTGAGTGAAAATGGGTAGCTTGGGGTCATTGGACAAAATTCTACGTGCTCACGGACCAGGCTTTAGCATGGCTATGGTTGTCGCGAATGGATGTATTTGAGTCAAATTCCTGAAATGCGTAGCCAAACTAGCGCCAACGTTAGCAGTTGAAACTTGCCTGTATATGTTACATTACATGTAAGATATATGAAATATTGTTGTATTCTTGATTTCATGATCAAGCTTTTACTGTGAAACGTTGCTCAAAACTCAAGCACCGATTCAAACCTATACAATAAAATTGCATTATCCATCAATCTTGAGTTTGAATGTAATTATTTTGAGCATTGTTTTAGAAGGATACACACTAGTACTCGTATATCTATTCTGTTAGTCGCAAAATTCAACTTATTAACTAAATCAAGGTTTCTCAAACGTTATAGCTGTCATAAAATTTTCCTTGAGCGGTCCTGCAAAGGGCTACGATTCTAAACGTCTAATTTGAAAGAGACGTTGATGACTTCTTTTAAATAAGATAGTTTGAATGTGTAAGTTTTTATTGGTATATGTGAGATTATAAGTTTGAGAAGCCTTGAAAGTAATACAGTCAGCTTCAAATAGTTCGTGACACCCAAAGCAGCCAATAAGTTCGCAACGTGTCTTTGTTACAATTGAAATAAGGTTGTGTTGTAAACTTTTTGGTCACTTTGGGTGTCACGAACTGTTTGACGCTGATTATAATTAAGTATTTAGTTTGCTGTGCTATCGTCGTACCTATTCGTAAACCTAACGATCTGTGGTGTGTCAGAACTTGCAGGCAGTAAAGCAGGGCCCGCCGCCGCCCAGCCCTGGCGGCAGGCCGGCCGGGCCGCCGCAGCCCTTCGTGCCTCTGCAGGTCCAAACCAGTCGGAGGTGAGTCGATGACATCAACATTATAATAGTTGTTCTTTATCATGTCATCATCATTTTAGCCTGAAGAAACCATATTTTATTTTCGTCGGGGAAAATTATACAGGGTGTCCCGTAAATCAACATTAAGCCGGAACTGGGTGTTGAGGCAAGTTGTGCTGGTTATCAGAAAAATAAAAAAAAAACTATCTGGCATTTAAAAAAAAATTAAAAAATCTACTCCCGGTGACAGTCTTTTTACTCCTTTTGCCACAAATCTTCACTTTTTCCAAAATTTTTTTTGTTATGTAACCCTGAATAATTCTTCTCTAAATTGTGATCAAAATTACAAAACCAGCTGCTCCAGCTTGGATGAAAAAAATACATTATTCCAAAAAAAATATCAAAATAAAAATTTTGCCTAGTTTAAACTGACTGTATTTTGCCCAAAATTCAAGTTTCTGTGACTGACTGTACGGTGACTTTTGTCACCATGACAGTAATTAGTAGTTGACATACTTTCATGGTGACAAAAATCACACGTGCGCGCGAGCCTTTACTACCTAATTTGGAAAAAGTGTAGATTTGTGGCAAAAGGAGTAAAAAGACCGTCACCAGAAGTAGATTTTTTTGTTTTTTTAATACCTATTATTTTGACAAAATGCTAGATAGATTTTTTTTGTATTTTTCTGATAACCAGCACAACTTGCCACAACACCCAGTTCCGGCTTGACGTTGATTGTGACACTCTGTCTGTATGTCTATCCTGCGTGAAACGGGTATAGCCACCAAATAGGCTTCGAATTTCCGTCATTTGCCACAAATGGGCCCGAACTGTGGAATTCCGGACAAAACCTTCACTACCACAGCTCCTCCCGGTGACTGCCCTGCAAGCAGGGGCGTAGCTACCGCCGTATCAATGATATGGGGCCCCGGAATACAGGGACCCCAGTGTCAAACTTTTTTGAATAGACTGAGTATGCGTCTGCCTATGGAAGTTCTTTAATTTTGCAATGACCTTTTTTTATATGAAAAAGGCCCCATGATCTAAATGACCTTTTTTGATGGGGCCCCATACAAATGTCGACATAGGGCCCGTCTAAAGTCTGCACCACTGTCTGCAAGCCCCTCAGATCGGGGGTGACCGGTGATGGCCTGTGCAATGCATTATAAGCTTGTGTTACCAGCCTGCAATGACCTAACTAACTAAAACAACGTTGAACACGGCATGCAACTCGATAGTCTACGATTATCAAGTCCTACTCAAAATATAATCAATGAATTAATTCGAACATCGAGCACTCGAATAAATTGCTTCTATTAGTACGAGTGTGGTAAACACTTATGTCGGGTATGTCTCCTAGGAATTACCGCTTCCTATCCACGTCACTGGCGTCAAGTGAAGACAAATTCCTTGGAAAAGTTTCCCTACAACTTACATACTGTGTGCGGGTTTTCAGTTCACACTACTTACTAACTATACAGGGTGAATGCGATGGATTATTATACAGGATGACTGGGAAATCCGACCTATTCCTTGTTAGAGGTTGTATTCCAGTGAACCAGGGGTCAAAACTGAATGAATTAAATAGTTTCTGGTCAGCCTGTATACGACTCTAGGAATTTTATTTGCTAACTTCAATAGAGAATAGTGTTTCATTCACTGTTTTAGCAGTGACAGCGCTTACTTGAACAAAAACGCTTCCAATAACTTTTTTCCACCAAACGCACTCATTAATTTTATTCTAATAGTTTTTTACTTTGTTCCAAACTAGCGTCACGTACAAGAGATCGGTGGTGCCACTGCAGCCGAATGCGAGCGGATCGTCGGTGCCGATCAATCAAACTACCGTGCAACCGCCGGCCTCATACCAGCCGCAGCCGCCCAACCAAGTAAGTACATGTTCATAATAGACTATGATTATATAGGGTGGCATCGATAAGTGATCTCACTAAACTATTTCTAAACTATACACGATATCGAAAAAGTGGTTACTATTCCTGAAAGTGATGCTTATAGAGGGTGGAATCGATAAATGATCTCACTCGATTCTTTCTAAACTATACAAGATATCGAAAAACTGGTTATTGATCCTGAAAGTGCTTCACGAGCTCTATCAAACGATATCAATAGGTTACAGAATAAACTGGATCTAACCCGAAAATTCAATGTTTCCAGCTCTTCCATACTTTGTATAATGTCAGCTATCTGCTCCGGCAAGGTTTCTGGAGTTTTACAAATAACTATTTAATTCGTTGTATAAACAATAATGCTGTCAAGTTTCACACTTAATTTTTTGTGACCAAAATATCGACGCCGACGCCTCAATAATAATTATGACGTCATTCTGCCGTCACGAAGTAAAGGTTTATTCAGTACGTAATATGGCGTGTTTAATGCCGTTATTAGTATTTAGGTTTGTGATATAATATTATTTTAACACAAAAAATTTTGTTAGGTCCCGCAACAGAAGCAAGACCCGGCANTTATTAACTAAATCAAGGTTTCTCAAACGTTATAGCTGTCATAAAATTTTCCTTGAGCGGTCCTGCAAAGGGCTACGATTCTAAACGTCTAATTTGAAAGAGACGTTGATGACTTCTTTTAAATAAGATAGTTTGAATGTGTAAGTTTTTATTGGTATATGTGAGATTATAAGTTTGAGAAGCCTTGAAAGTAATACAGTCAGCTTCAAATAGTTCGTGACACCCAAAGCAGCCAATAAGTTCGCAACGCGTCTTTGTTACAATTGAAATAAGGTTGTGTTGTAAACTTTTTGGTCACTTTGGGTGTCACGAACTGTTTGACGCTGATTATAATCAAGTATTTAGTTTGCTGTGCTATCATCGTACCTATTCGTAAACCTAACGATCTGTGGTGTGTCAGAACTTGCAGGCGGTAAAGCAGGGCCCGCCGCCGCCCAGCCCTGGGGCCAGGCCACCCGGCCCGCCGCAGCCCTTCGTGCCTCTGCAGGTGCAAACCAGTCGGAGGTGAGTCGATGACAGCATTATAATAGTTGTTCTTTATTATATCATCATCATTTTAGCCTGAAGAAACCATTTTTTCGTCTCTTTATCATATCATTATAGCCTGAAGAAACCATATTTTCGTCGGGGAAAATTATATGTCCATCCTGCGCGGAACGGGTTCGTTCGTTCGTTCGTTTCAGCCGAAAGACGTCCACTGCTGGACAAAGGCCTCCCCCAAGGATTTCCACAAAGACCGGTCGTGCGCCGCTCACATCCAGGCGCCTCCCGCGACCTTCACCAGATCGTCGGTCCACCTAGTGGGAGGCCTGCCCACGCTACGTCTTCCGGCTCGTGGTCGCCACTCAACACCGGGACCGGACCGGGTATAGCCACCAAATAGGCTTCGAATCTTCGTCATTATTTGCCACAAGTGCCCACGAGCTGTGGAATTCCGGACAAAGCTCCTCCCGGTGACTGCCCTGCAAGAAGGGGCGTAGCTACCGCCGTATCAATGATATGGGGCTCCCGGAATACAGGGACCCCAGTGTCAGATTTTTTCGAATAGACTGAGTATGCGTCTGCATAGTTCTTTAAATCTTTTGCAATTACCTTTTTTGATGAAAAGGACTCCATGATCTAAATGACCTTTTTTGATGGGGCCCCATACAAATTTCGATATAGGGCCCGTATTGCCTTTGCAATGCATCATAAGCTTGTGTTACCTGCCTGCAATGACCTAACTAACTAAATCAACGTTGGACACAGCAGTGCAACTCGGTTGTTCGATTATCAAGTCCTACTCAAAATATAATCAATGAATGAACATCGAGCACTCGAATAAATTGCTTCTATCAGTACGAGTGTGGTAAACACTTATATGTTGGGTATGCCTCCTAGGAATTACCGCTTCCTATCCACGTCACTGGCGTCAAGTGAAGACAAATTCCTTGGAAAAGTTTCCCTACAACTTAACTACTGTCTGCGGGGTAACTATACAGGGTGAATGCAATGGATTTTTATACAGGATGACATGGAATTCCGACCTATTCCTTGTTAGAGGTTGTATTCCAGTGAACCAAGGGTCAAAACTGAATGAATTAAGGAATAGTTTTCCTGTCACCCTGTATACGATACTCTAAGAATTTTATTAGTCTTACATTGGGGTTGGCGAAAAAAAGTGTTTGTAAGCGCTTATAAGCAAAATGGCGATCGCTAGAGCAGTTTTCGGCGAGGACACGTTTGCTAACTTCAATAGAGAATAGTGTTTCATTCGTTGTTTTAGCAGTGACAGCGCTAACTTAAACAAAAGCGCTTCCAAGAACTCATTTCCACCAAACGCACTCATTAATTTTATTCTAATAGTTTTGTACTTTGTTTCAAACCAGCGTCACGTACAAGAGATCGGTGGTGCCACTGCAGCCGAATGCGAGCGGCTCTTCAGTGCCGATCAATCAAGCTACCGCGCAACCGCCGGCCCCATACCAGCCGCAGCCGCCCAACCAAGTAAGTACATGCATAATAGACTATGCTTATACAGGGTGGCAATGATAAGCGATCTCAGTAAGCTATTTCTAAACTATACACGATATCGAAAAGCTGGTTACTATTCCTGAAAGTGATGCTTATACAGGGTGGAAACGATAAATGATCTCACTCGATTCTTTCTAAACTATACAAGATATCGAAAAACTGGTTATTGATCCTGAAAGTGCTTCACGAGCTCTATCAAACGATATCAATAGGTTACAGAATAAACTGGATCTAACCCGGAAATTCAATATTTCCAGCTCTTCCATACTTTGTATAATGTCAGCTATCTGCAACTTCAAGATTGCTGGAGTTTTACAAATAATTCTTTGTATAAACAATAATGCTGTCGTTTCACACTTTGAATTTTTGGCCACCAAAATATCGACGCTTAAAATAATTATTATAACGTCATTCCACCGTCACAAAGTAAAGGTTTATTCAGTACGTAATATGGCGTGTTTAATGCCATTATTAATATGCTTGTAAGGTTTGATATAATATTATTTTAACATAAAAAATGTTGTTAGGTGCCACAACAGAAGCAAGACCCGGCTTCCCGTCCCCAGAAGAAGAAAAAACCCAGAATCGCCGCGAATCTACCCTTCCAAATAGAGTAAACGTTATTTACCTGTATTTGCCCAGCTACAAAATAAGGACAATCGTAACGACCTACACACTGACATGGAATCGAATTCTGAAATGAATTTTATTGAAATAGACAATTGTAAATAAAAGCATAATAAAAAAAATAGAAAAATATTATCATCCAAAACTTAAGTATAGTCGGACGATACTTAATGTTTCTCACTAGAAATTAAATATACTCGACGGATCAAGTTGTACATTGTGTAAATATGGAGTGAATGCTATTTGAAATGTGATCAATTCGACTTTTAGTCAAACTAATCATCCGTCAATAGTTCCTCATAATCATTTTGTTAACTTGAGTGAGATTGAAGACGTTATTAGGTTTATCCACAGATATGGATAGATGCAGCATGTCAAAAAATTTTTATGAAGACTAGCGTGCCACTTTTTAAACGTCATTAGTGTCATTTTAGCCAATTTTAGTGATTGCCGCAACGTAAAAATAATCGTATCATCTTACTGCAATCGCAAAGTTATCGAATGATACCTATCGTGTGACTCGATTCGACAATTAATTAATTCCGATAAAACTGATATTTTGTTGGATTTATAGCTAGTCTGACTGTGGATTAAAATATTTTTGTAGCGGTAAACGTCATTCTATATTATTAATTTTCTTATTAATTTGCAAATAATATTTTTATTTTTAATAAATGTAAAAATGCGTAGTTTTGCCAATACGTTTTCTTTCATAAAGCTAAGTCAGGTATCTAGTTTTGAAGATATTTCTAAACTACAAAATCCAGTGCCGTCGTATACATAGACGTATACCAATACTGCGATCACTAACTTCTTGATTTGTATATTTCGATGTTACACAGTGCACTCTGTCTTCCGCGATCACTGATGAACTTGTTTTATAATTCTTCTACTGCTACTTTATTCTAATTAATTATTTGTTACTTGTGCTGTTAGGTAATTACAATTCTCAATCCGTAAATAATTTCTCCTTTCTACTGTGTTCGTACTACTGTCCTCGTAAAATCACCGTAACCGATTGTTGTAATCGGATTACATGAACATCACTCGACCATGTATGTCCATTTGGACATATCGGAATGGCACGCTTTGACGAGCAACTTGCTGTATCTACTCTAATCCATATCTGTGGGTTTATCGGTTGTATTTTTTTGTATTTTGAATCAAAGAAACCTAAATAAAAGCATGTTTTTTTTTTGTTAAAAATCAACGAATCTCAAAATCTCTTAAATATAAGGAAAGTAATAAAGATTCCCAATGTAAACATTTGTTTCAATACATGTGGGAATTGCCGTATTATTTTAAAATAGAGCACTAGAGATTTTGACATTCTAAAAAGTACAAACTGCATACATACTATTTTTATATTCATATTGTTGTCTTTCCAAACTGATATTTTTAGGTATAAAATTGAATTTGAATAGGGTAAGGTGGGGCACAATGTTACACGGGGTACAATGTTACAATGCATATTTCTCCGTCCCTTTCTATTAGTTGTATGATGTTCAGCGGCTCAGTTAAGCAGCTCTTATGAGCTTGACAAACGTGTATACCAACATCATACAACTAATAGAAAGGGACGGAGAAATATGCATTGTAACATTTTACCCCGTGTAACATTGTGCCCCACCTTACCCTAAAATTTCCCTTCGAAATGACATCAATGGTATGATTACCGTTACTAGATCGTAATTGGTTTGATGTAATGACTGGACTATTTAAAAATATCAAGATTATGTGTAATAAAGTGGACTTCCGAATTTACTACTTGTTTCATTAATCACCTGAGGCGCTATGTACACGTTAGAGAATTATTTATTTATACTTCAATGCCAAAAATATTAACATTAGGCGAACTTAATGCCATAAGGTTAGTAATTAATTAAATTATTCCTAGTTGAAGCAACTTAAATACTTTTTCACGACACGATTTTGGCACGGAAAAAGAAACATCAATCAAGATTTGTATAGGTCTAGAAGAGCTTAACTCAGTCAGTGCCCTAGTATGGGAGTAGGGTTGCCAGGTCCAAAAACACAAAAGCCGGACTCTGTGCTTCATTTGGCCGGACATTTTACCCTAAAAGCCGGACATGC